AAGGAGAGAACATACCAGATGGGTATAGTGGTGCACACCTTTAATGCCAGCACTTGGGAGGCAGAAGCTGGCTGAGTTTGAGGACAGCCTCATCTGCAGAGTGAGTTCCATATCAACCAGAGTTATATAGTAAGACCTTGTCTCAAAAAAAAAAAAACCAAACAAACAAAAAACAAAACAAAAAGGTGCTCTTTGATTTCATTGTGTAACTGATCATTTTCTTTTAAAATGTCCATTTTATTCATGTTATCTGCCTATACTTGTACAATATGTATTCTATTGTGGCTTCAGGAGAAAAATCAATATGTTTAGTGGTTCCAAAATTCAGAAATATTAATATGCATAGATCTTTCTCTTCTCATATTTTTCTTTAAAAAGGCACATAAGCTTCTTTGACATTAATTAAGCTGTTAAATTTCTCATAGGCATTTCTGCCAATGTTATTAGTAATTTCATAGGTACGTAATTATATTAAGTTTTCTCTCAATGTAGTTTTTACCAGGGACTTGTTCATTTTGGAAAAATAAAAATCAAAAGGTAACTGAAAAATAAGAGGTTTGGGCTGGAGAGATGGCTCAGAGGTTAAGAGCACCAGTTGCTCTTCCAGTAGGGCCCGAGTTCAATTCCTAGCAACCACATGGTGGCTCACAACCATCTGTAATGAGATCTGGTGGCCTCTTCTGGCCTGTAGACATACATGCAGGCAGAACACTGTATGCATAATACATAGATAATTCTTTAAAACATAATAAGAGGTTTATCTGAGATATTTGGCCTTTGGAGAGATATAAATATAAGTGAGTGATATAAAATTGCACTGGTATCAAATTCAATTTTACCAAACTCAGAAATCAAGAACATACTGATGCAATCTACCCACAGGAAAAATCCTCTTCAAGCTACTGCCCTGGGAACAGACTGACCTTACCTTTACCTTTGGCAAATAAAACAAACCAAGAAGCATGTAGGAATAAAAACATTTATTTACCCTCAAACTGTAGCATCTGACACTGGACTCAGACGTAACCAGTCTCAAGCTCTATGCATTTCATTTCTCTAATTCTCCAAATTAGTCAGTATTTATTAGTCAGAACAGAAGGCACAGGCCTCTACACCATTCTCAGAAAACATGAGGACATATGATGCTTAGTTACAATTTTAATAATATGTAAGTTTGTAGTCTACACACAATTCTACACTCTGCTTTATTATTATTTTTTTATTTTATGTGTAGAGATGTTTTGCTGGCCTGTGTGTCCAAGCACCCCATGTGTATAGTGCTGATGGAGTCCAGAAGAGAGCATCAAATCCCACAGAACTGCAGTTACAGATGGTAGTGAGCTGCCATGTGGGTGCTGGGAGTTGAACTCAGGTCCTCTGAAAGAGTAGCCAGTGTTCTTAACCACTGAGCCATCTCTCCCCGCTACACTCTGTTTTTATTATTTTGTTTTAAGTTTTTCTAAAATCCTCCAGAATTCTCCATGAACATCATGTTCACTGGCTGTGCACATTTAGTCACACAGCTTGCCATACGTCTTCTCACAGAAGCTTTTCTGAATAGTAAGAGCTACATTTGTGCCAATATATAGAGTAGATAATGTGCCATGTCTTCTTGCCACTTGAAACACCAGAACAAAACAAAAACAAAACAAAATACCCAAAAAAACTATAACTGTCATAGAATGATCCTGTTATAATCAGAGCTGCTACATGGACTGGTTGCTTAGCCTAGTCCTCACTTTCTCCACATTAATAGTTAACATTAGATTTTTTGGGTTTTTTTGGAGCTGAGGATCGAACCCAGGGCCTTAAGCTTGCTAGGCAAGCACTTTACCACTGAGCTAAATCCCCAACCCTCTAGATTTTGTTTTGACCCATAGTGCCTGGCTGCAAATCTTACCAGCTGAATGATGTTGTGGAACATTACTTTAACTAGGCAAAGATATGTTACATTTGTTTATTTTGCATTTGTTTAACCAGGAAAATATGTGTTACATTTGTTTAATTATGTAAAGATGTGTTATATTTGTATTTAGCTTGCCTACCTAAGGCACCTGATTGGTCTAATAAAAAGCGGAATGGCCAATAGCTAGACAGTAGAGGGATAGGCAGGGCTGATGGGCAGAGAGAATAAATAGGAGGAGGAATCTAGGCTCAAGAAGAGAGATGGGGAGAGAGAGAGAGAATGAAGGAGAATGAGGGAGAGAGAGAGACAGAGAGACAGAGCGAAACAGAGAGACAGAGAGAGAGAGACTCACAGGGCCACCCAGACACAGAGTAGGACATACAGAATGAAAGAAAGGTAAAAAGAAGCCTGAGGCAAAACATAGATGAAGAGAAACAGGTTAAATTAAGTTGTAAGAACTAGTGGGACAAACATAATATAAGCCTAAGCATCCAAAACTAATAAGAAGTCCCTGTGTCATGATTTTGGAGCTGGTTGGTGGCCCAAAAGAAAGCCTGCTACAGAGTAATCCTTGGCTTTCTACTTTAGATTGAGATGTTTACATTTTTTAATGTTGTTTTATAGGGTAGTTAGGAGAGAAAACTAGCAAAAGCTGATCATTTCAGGCCCTCCGAATGGGTGAGACAGTTGATTGGCTTGATCTGTTTGGGAGGCATCCAGGCAGTGGGACCAGATCTTGTGCTCATTGCATGAGTTGGCTGTTTGAAACCTGGGGCCTATGCAGGATTGTTTGGCTCGGCCTGGGAGGAGGGTACTAGACCTACCTGGACTGAGTCTACCAGGTTGACCTCAGTCTGTGGGGAAGGCTTTGCCCTGGAGGAGATGGGAATGGGGGGGGGCGTTGGGGGGAAGATGAGGGGGACGGGAGGGGGGAGAACAAGGGAATCCGTGACCGATATGTAGAACTGAATTGTATTGCAAAATAAATTAAAATAAATTAAAAAAAAAAAAAAGCTGATCATTACTTTGAACAAAGTATGTGCAGTTCATGTTAGCCATTATGAGCCTGAGATCAAAGAACTCAAGATGGAAAATGACCTCGGAATCAGGGAGTGTTGGGTGGATTAAGGTATACATAGATGCATGGGTTCTAACAGAGCTCAGGGAAGAAGGAAGACAACTATCAAATACAGGGCAATGAAGGATGTGTGTTAGGAAATGGATTTGGGTGTGTGAAGAAGCAGGCTAAGTTGCAGTCTCAGGAGAGATGGCTTCTATAGAATTCTTACTGAAATATCTTTTGCTTTTGAACTTTCCTTGTTGACCTTAGAAAATCATGAAAAAGTGAGAGCGAAGGTCCTGAATATAAACATATTTTCATTCCATGCTCTGCCCGACTTCATTGGTGACTGTCCCTTTACCTGGGTGATTTCCTGTCTCCTTTAGCTCTATTCTGTTTCAGTTTTTCCCTTCTGTGGTAGACATTTGTGGTGATATTTTATTTGTGCTTTAATAAATAAAGCTTGCCTGGAGATCAGAGGATAAAGCCAGCCACAACACAGAAGTCATGCAATGTTAGCACATGCCTTTAATCCTATCACTTGGCAAGCAGGATCTCTGTGTGTTCAAGGCCACACTGTAAACAAAGTCAGGTGTGGTGGCACACGCCTTAAATTTCAAAAGCAGTTAACCACGGAGGTCTGGAGGTCTGTACAGATAGACAAGAAGTAACAGAGCTGGGTAGGAAGAGGAAGTAATATAGCTGAACAGAGAGAGCAAGTCAAATGGCAGAACAGCAAGGCATATAGACGTGGGTAGACAGGAAGTAACTTTCATTTGGAAGCTGCAGAGTTGGTGAGGTAAGGTTGACTGGTGGCTTTCCCTATTTCCCTGATCTCTCTAAGGCTTTCACCTCTGTATTTGGCTCTGTGTTTTTTATTTAATAAGACCATTTAGAAATTCATCTACATTTGTGATGGTTTTAATGAGAAATGCTCCCCTTAGGTTCAGGTTTTGTACTTGGTGGTGCAGTTTGGGGAGGTGGTGAAGCCCTGCTGGGAAAATCCATCATTAGTTGTGACCTTTGAGAATTCAGAGCTTCACCCCTTCCAATTCTCTCTTTCTGCTTTCTGCTTGTAGTTGAAGATATGAGTTCTCAGCTTCTTGCTCTAGCCACCATGCCTCCATGCCATGATGGATACATACCCCCCAGGAACCATTAAGTCCAAATGGATCCTCTTTCTATAAGTTGCCTTGATCACTTTGTTTCATCATAACAACAGGAGAGTAACTAACACAACACTTCTTCCTCCAATACAACGTTATCAAATTTTATTGCACCAATACTGCTTTCTGCCATCAATCACAAGACTGTGAGTTTAATAAATATTTGTGAAATTTGTTTAATGATGAAAAAACAGTGTACCTTATTAGATATCTAGAAAGGGATTATGATCTCACATTGTAAATGATGACATTGAGCTCAGAGATGTTAAATTGCTGACTGCATGTGTAATGAGGTTGACCTGGGTCTTCACCTTCCTGAATCTAAGTTCAATACACTGTTCACCAACACAGTCACTGTGGGTCATAACTGGATGGTGAATGTAACAAGATCAGGGGAATATTTCAGAGGAGGCTGGCACAGACAGCTCTGATAGCCAGTAGGAAACCCTATAGCATGCTTGCAATGACTTTTCCCCATGTAACCCCTCAATTTACCTCCTTGTCATAATTTTTTTCCATTCCTAAAATCTTGGAAATAAAACAAACAGCCACTTCTAATGAGCTTTTGCTAAACTAAACCTTGAACTCCTTGAAGTCAGCTTTCACCTGCTCTGTTTGTGGCTCTTTCACAAATATTTGTGAGCTATGTGGATAAAATGACATTTAACCACTGTCACCTGAGATGCCTTTCATTTCACTGTTTTCCAAAGTAGGTTGTTCACGTTGATCAACTCTGGTCTTGAAATCAAGCTCTGCTCACACCCATTTCCCTCCCATAAGTAGGTGGGGCAGTCTTCCCGGGGCTGGAAGACACAAGAGTGTTCAGTGAAAGTGAGGGACAGTCAGTTGATCCAGAAGCTGTTGTATCATGAGTGTCTCTGCTCTGAGCCCCACCAGATTCCCAGGAAGCATCTCTGGCTTCCTCCAAGTAGCCTCTGTGCTCAGCCTGCTCCTGCTGCTCTTCAAGGCAGTCCAGTGTTACCTGCACAGGCGATGGCTACTCAGAGCCACCCAGCAGTTTCCATTCCCACCTTCTCACTGGTTCTTTGGGCACAAGGTATGAAGGGAAGGGAAAGGTGGGTGGGAGAGCAGGGAGGATGGTGTCTCAGAGACTGGCCATCAGATGTACAGAACAGAGCTTGCTATAAAACAAGCACAGGTCCTTCATGGGCCACTCTGCTCAAGATGGGACACACATCAAGTTGGGCTCACTTCAGCAACAGGGGCTCCCTGCTCAAAAGAGCCTGGTTTTATTGCTTTGCTGCACACTCCTTCCTCATGCAGATCTATCATCTGTTCTGAGAGTCCTGGACTTGGGAGGTTGTGGTTGGTCCTACCTAAGCCTTTTCCTTTCCAGGCTGAGTAACTTCTGTAACTAGAGTTAGAACTGAGATTATGGGGCTAGCTTCTGGGGAGTGCAGCTTCATCTAACTACAGCATCTGGTTCAGATTAAGGGAGAGAGCAAAGGTCTAAAAGATAGCACTAAAAGGCAATCAAGCTGGGTTCCAATCCCAGGTTCTGTTGTAACCTCACCTGTTATCAGAAAGCTGTACTTCGGCCAGGCGTGGTGCACACCTTTAATCCCAGCACTGGGGAAGAAGAGGCAGGCGGATCTCTGTGAGTTCGAGGCCAGCTTGGACTACAGAGTGAGTTCCAGGAAAGGCGCAAAGCTACACAGAGAAACCCTGTCTCAAAAAACAAAACAAAGAAACAAAACAAACAAAAAAGCTGGACTTCTTGGTGGTTCCTTGCCCCCGTTCCTCTTCATCCTCAGCTCCTAGCACAGAGCTTGTCTGAGAACATGGCTATTGGTGTGGTAGAATCTGTCCTGTGCATAGTAACAACAGGCAGGAATCTCAGGGGGTGCCAAGTGTGCTAAAGGGACTCACTTTGCTATTGGGCGAAGCAACTGATCATGTAAGCTTACCTAAGACTGAAAGAGCTGCCTGGATAAATGATATCTAGGTTTAAATCCTAAGGGTCAGGAAAGTTGTTTTGCAGATGTGAAGGTCATTGCTAGAGATGTTCTATTAGTCAAAGTCCATTTATTTATGGGCTTTCCTCCTGCATACCCTGTAGTGTGTGTTCCATGCTGCTAAGCACACTGTACCTCAGAGACCAACCAAGGGCCTGGCACAAGTCTTCCAGAAAGGAGATTAAAAAAAAAAAAGCAGTTCAGGGGCTGGGGAGAGCCTCTCTCACCTCTAGGGGAACGGTCGCAGAACTAGGCAAAAGGTTGCAGGGAGAGTCTTGTGACAAGGGTTACATATTGACCACATTTAAGAGGCGACAGAGTATGTGAAATAAGGGCTAGAACTGAGGTTACAGGGTTAGCTTCTGGGAAGTACAGCTTCAGCTAACAGGACAACAGCATCTGGCTCAGATCAAGGGAGAGCGCAAAGGTCTAAAAGACAGCACTAAAAGGCAATCGAACTGGGTTGCAATTCCAGGTTCTGTTGAATTGTCCTCACCATGTCCCTGAGGTTGTTCTGCCCTTTATTTAAGACCAAGAACTAAAACAAGAGATGATTTCTTTTTATTTTACTCTTGAGGTTTTGTTAGTTAGTTCATTTTTTTTTTGTTTTTTGTTTGTTTGTGTTTTGACAATATCTTGCAAGCTATCCCAGGCTGGTCTGGAACTCACTGTGTAGCCTATATTGACTGTATACCAACCAGAGATCCTCTGGCTGCAGCCTTCCACGTGTTGTATTGAGATTACAAACACAAGTCATCACATGTGGCACAAAATATTTCTATTGATATCAGATCCCCAAGGACCAGGAGCTTCAAGATATTCTAACACGGATAAAGAATTTCCCAAGTGCCTGTCCACAGTGGCTCTGGGGGACCAAGCTGCGCTTCCAAGTGTATGACCCTGACTACATGAAGGTGATTCTGGGAAGATCAGGTGAGGGTGAAACTCCATCACCACCATAGATCTTCCATTCTGGGTTTATATCTGGGCCTATGAAGTTACAGGAATAAATGACAATTTAGTTACTAATGCTTAAACAGTACCTTTCATTTTTCCTGGTTACAACCTTGTGTATGGTCAGCAATTCTTACTTAATACTGTCTTGGTACTTAGCACAGCAACATTAAAATAGTAGTATGAGTTCAATTTATTTATTTTTTGAACTGTTATAAATAAAAATAAATTTCATATCTATAGCTACTTGGGTTTGAATCTTCTAATTGCTCTATTCTGTATCGTGGATGACTAAGCTACTAGAAACTGCAGTTAAACACAAGGTTGTCTTATTCCTTGCGGTTGGGGATATAATAATCTCTGTTTCTCAGTAACTCGCTATTCTAATCCCAGAGATGTTTAGCTTCTGATATAGGGAGGTTGCCTCCCTAAGCCAAACTGTCAAGAAGGGAATGGCAGACAGCGGGAGGTAGCATGAGGCACTGCCAACAGACAGTTATCAAGACTTCATGGTTCTCTCTAGTCTCATCTGCAGCCATTTCAGACTGCTTCATCTTTCTTTGTTTCTAACTAACGCTTCATTTTTTTCAGACCCCAAAGGTCATCATGCCTACAAACTTCTAGCTCCTTGGATTGGTATGTATAGCCATATTAAAAACCAACTGTGGTCACTCTCCACTTGGGTTTGCTAAGAATTCTATCAACTCATTGAGAACAATGGGAGATGAGTCATTACCTTCAAGATATATCCTTTACTTGTAATTTCGTTTCTCTTCTAACCAGACATTAACCTCTTCCTTGTGTTTCCATATCTCCTATTTACCAACATTCGTAGTCTGACGTATATGTCCTTCTTTATCTTTCTCTCACTGTTTAAAATCTTTGTCTTGTAGCTATCATGATCACATTGTAAGTACCAGGCCAACTGGGGAAAACACATTACTGAAAAGTACTAGTCTTTTTCCATCCTTATTTGTCTTCCTGTTCCTCCAAGATCTCCAATGTTTGTCTCTCCAAATTGCCCCTAGTCTTCTAATACCATTGCTCATACACTCATTTACACAACCATCTCTGTCCAGGGTATGGTTTGCTTCTGTTGAATGGAGAGAGATGGTTCCAGCACCGACGAATGTTAACCCCAGCTTTCCACTATGATATCCTGAAGCCTTATGTGAGAATCATGGCAGATTCTGTTCATATAATGCTGGTGAGTCTTCTCTCTGTGTGCCTCTCCTGCATCTCTTTCACTCTCATGTCCACACACCCACTCATAGCACATACTCAGATTCTGCTCTTTAACATAGAAACCATCAGACACAGTCATATGGAATAACACTCAATTCATTATGTAAAATAGGTTCCTCAAAAGTCAATGCCACCGAGAGGATCCAGATTCGGGGAGGAGAGAAGAGGAGAGGAAAGGAGAGGAGAGGAGAGGAGGCCACATTCCCACAGCTAAACTAGATGTACCATCATACCCCATATGACTCTAAATTTCTGACTTCATAGTGCTCATTGAACTTTTGATGAATGAAAAAGAGTTTAGATCAAGATGATCCCCATTAGGAACACATGTGTAGGCCCATGGGCTTTCTTTTCCTTGACTATTTTATTACCATATTTGAGTTTCCATTAGTTCTTTCAAATTTCATTCATCTGTCAGAAAAATGAAGGGTTCCCTGGGGTCCTCTTCATCAAATGAAAGGTTGTAACTGATTCACAAAATTCAAAGTGAAGATATGTTTAATCTTATAATTTTCCTCTGAGAAGTAGGTATTAGACTATAAATATTTTTCACACTTAGTTTTCTAAAAGATGTCTATATTAGCTATTTCTGTTGTTGATGAGATTAAAGACCTGAGAAGAAGCTGTCAAAGAGAGAGAGGGTTTATTTTGGCTCACACTTCAGAGAATACAGTTCATTGTGGTGGAGAAAGAATGAATAGTTGTTTCATGATCCCAATCAGAAACAGAGAAAGAGGAATACCAACTCTTCCTTGACTTTCTCCTTTGTCCCCTTTCTATTTAGTCTAAAATCCTAACCCATGGAATGGTGATGTTCTCATTCATGGAAGTTCTTACCTTAATTCAATTCTACAAATGCCTACACAGAGACACTCAAAAGTATGCCTCAATGATGTCCTTGGTCTGTCTGTATTTTTTCTTTCTTTCTTTCTTTCTTTCTTTCTTTCTTTCTTTCTTTCTTTCTTTCTTTCTTTTTTCTTTCTTGGGGGGGGACCGAAAATGTATTTACTTATTTTTATTATATTTTTATTATTTAAAGCAATTTAAAATTTAAATATATTTTAATCATTTTCTTCCTATCCCCTAAGTCCTTCCAGATCCTATCCACCTCCCACCCACCCAACTTCAAATTATTTCTCTAAAATCAAACAAAAACCTAATACAACAACAACAACAACAAAAACCAAAACCAAGAAAACAAAATAAAACATTACCCAAAAAGAAAAAAAAATCAAACTGTAACCAAATAAAAGCACACACACACAAAACTGTGGAGTCTATTATATGTTGGTCACATGAGACCTGTTCTGGAGTGGTTGATATACCCAGTATCAATCCATTGGAGAAAACTGATTTTCCCTCTCCCAGAAGGTATAAATGACAGTTGTTAACCTTTACCCTAGTGGCTATGTTTTCATTCATTCATTCATTCATTTAAAAAATACAACAAAATAAAATATGATAAGCTAAAACAAAAAGTGTCACACAGAAGGTGAACAAAACAAACCAACAGAAGAAAGGGGACCCAAGAGAAGGCACAAGAATCAGAGACCCACTCATTCACACACTCAGGAATCTCATAAAAACATTTTACTGGAAGCCATACTAAATAATCAGAGGATCTGGTGCAGACCCAAGCAGTCCCAGTGCATGCTGCTTCAGTGTCTGTGAGTTCATATTAGCTCTGCTCATGCTGATGTAGAGGGCCTTTTTTGTTGATGTACTCCATCCCATCTGGCTCTTACACTTTTTCTGCTTCTTCTTCTGTGGGGTGTCCTGAGCTCTGAGGAGAGGGATTTTATGGAGAAATTCTATTTAAAGGTAAGTTTCAACGTTTCTCATTCTGCATAATGTCTGGCTATAGGTCTCTGTATTTGTTCCCATCTGCTGATGGAGAAAGCTGCTCTAAAAGTGGCTGAACAAGGCACTCATCTATGAGTGTAATAGAATATCATGAGAAGTCATTTTATCACTAAGGACTATCCAGTCTCAGGTTCTTGGTCACTCAAGAAGGTGTTGAGTATGGCTTCTGTCTAGTGGAATAGGCCTTAAGTCAAATAAGACATTGTTTGTTTATGCCCACAACCTTTGTGCCACCATTGCCCTAGCATATCTTGCAGGCACTATATCATTGTAGATAAAAAGTTTGTGACTGTCTTGTGTCTTGGTGTTTATGTTTCTCTTTTGATAACATGTGGAGTATTTTCCTCTACCAAAGATGCTGGAATATAGGGATGAAGTCTCTATGAAGGCATCAGCTCTACATCTCTGTGTTCAATGAGTTGTGTAGGTATTGTCTTTAACAATGGGGCCTTGCTGTCAGTTTGTAGAGAGCAAACTACAGTCTTGGCAATAGACCAGGTTGTTTGGGGGTCCCTGTGGGCCCCTTTGGCCAGCAGCTTAGATGTAACCAACCTCAGTACTGAAAGCTTGGTTTGGTGGCAAGAGATGGCCAGTTGGGACTCAGTCTCTCTCATTTTTTGGCAATTTCATTTAGATCACCTTAATATACATATATGGAATTTTCTGCTGTATTAGGTTTCCATACTACTCTTCAAATGTCCCTCAATTTTAGTTATCTCTCCTTGTATTTCCTCCTACAACCCTCTCTTCTCTATCCCTCCCCACTTAATCCTCCCATTCCAGCCCCACCCCCTTTACTCATATTTATTTATTCTATTTCTCTTTCCTAACAAGATCTAGTTCCCTTTAGTCTGTTACTCTATACCTATCCTCTATGGTTCTATGGATTGTAGCTTGATTATTATTGACTTTATAGCTAATATACTCATATAAGAGAATATATGCCACATTTGTCTTTCTGAGTCTTGAATACCTCACTCAGGATGATTTTTTTTCTAATTCAATCCATTTGCCTGATTTTAGTGGAATTGCTTTGGCTTTCTCTCCAGTTGATGTTGGCCATGGGTTTGCTGTAAACAGCATTTATTATGTTGAAGTATGTCCCTTGTGTCCCTAATCTCTCCAGAACTTTTATCATGAAGGGATGTTGGATTTTGTCAAAGACCTTTCCTGAATCTAATGAGATGATCATGTGGTTTTTGCCTTTCAGTCTGTTTATATGGTGAATTATATTTATTGATTTTCATTTATTGAATAATCCCTGCATCTCTGAGATGAAGTTTACTTGATCATTGTGCATGATCTTTTTTATGTGTTCTTGGATTAAGTTTGCAAGTATTTTATTGTGTATTTTTGCATCTACGTTCATAAGGGAAACTGGTCTGTAATTCTATTTCCTTGTTGTGTCTTTATGTGGTTTGGGTACAAGGATAAATAACTGTGACTTTGTAAAATAAATTGGGCAATGTTCCTTCTGTTTCTACTTTGTGGAATAATTTGAGTAGTATTGGGATTAACTGTTTTGAAAGTCTGTCATAATTCTGTGCTAAAACTAAGTGGGCTTAGGATTTTTTTTTTGGTTGGGAGACTTGTAATGACAGCTTCTAATTCACTAGGGGCTATAGTTCTGTTTAAATTGCTTATCTGACCTTGATTTAACTTTGATAAGTAGTATGTATTGAGAAAATTATCCATTTCTTTTAGATTTTTCCAATCTGGTGGAGTATATGTTTTTAAAGTATATTCTTATTCTTTGGACCTTCTCAGTGTCTGTTGCTATGTCCCCCTTTTCATTTCTAATTTTGTTAATTTGCATCTTCTCTTTCTGTCTTTTGTTAATTTGGATAAGAGTTTGTCAGTCTTATTGATTTTCTCAAAGAACCACCTGGTTTTTTTCCTTGATTCTTTTCATTTTTTCTTTGTTTCCATTTTATTGATTTAAGCCCTAAGTTTGATTATTTCTTGCTGCCTACTCCTTTTGAGTATGATTTATTGTCTTTGTTCTAGAGCTTTCCAGTGTGTTGTTAAGTTACTAGTATGAGATCTCTCCAGTTTTTTATGTAGGCACTTAGTACTGTGAACTTGCCTCTTAGAACAACTTTCACCATGTCCCATGAATTTGGGTATATTTTGTGTTCATTTTCATTCAATTCTAGAAAGTCTTTGCTTTCTTTCTCAATTTCTGTCTTGACACACCTTTCAGTAGAAAATTGTTCAGTTTCTTTGAGTGTGTAAGCTTTCTGTTGTTTCTGTTGTTAATATCCAGCTTTAACCTATGGTGGTCAGATAGGATACAGGGTGCTGTTTAGATTTTCTTGTATCTGTTGGGACTTGCTTTGTATCTGAATATGGTCAACTTTGGAGAAAGTTCCAGGAGCTGCTGAGATGAAGGTCTATTCTTTTGTGTTTGGGTGAAATGTTCTGTAAATATCTGTTAGATCCATTTGGTTTATATCATCAGTTAGTTTTGGAATTTTTCTGTTTGGTTTTTGTCTGGATGTCCATTGGTGAGAGTCAGGTATTGAACTCTCTTACTATCAATATGTAAGGGTCACTATGTGATTTAAACTATAGTAGGGTTTCTTTTGCACACTTGAGTACCCTTGTGTTTGGGACATAGATGTTAACAATCGCAATGTCACCTTGGTGGACTTTTTTCTCTGATGACTTTGTAGTGTCCTTCCCTATTACTTCTGATTAGTTTTGGTTTGAAATTTATTTGTCAGATATTAAAATGGCTGCACCAGCTTGTTTCTTAGATGTATTTGCTTGGAATATCTTTTTCCAACCCTTTACCCTGAGATGATGTCTTTCCTTGATGTTAAAGTTTGTTTCTTGGATGCAGCAGAAGTATGGATCCTGTTTTTGCATCATTCTGTTAGTCCTTTTATTGAGGAATTGAGACAGTGATGTTGAGCAATATCAATGACCTATGCTTTTTTTTTTTTTTTTATTCCTGTTACTTCGTTGCTGCTCCTGCTGGTGGTGGTGGTGGTGTGGGTGGCTGTGTCTGTCTGTTTCTCCTGTTTTGATTTTGCTGGTCTGTGATTATTTATTCCCTGTGGGTTTTTTTTTTTATGTAGTTAACCTCTTTAGTTTGGAGTTTACCTTCTAGCACCTTCTGTAAGGCGGGATTTGCAGAAAGATATTGCTTAAATTTGTTTTTTTTTATCATGGAATGTCTTATTTTCTCCATCTGTGGTGATTGAAAGTTTTGCTAGACATAGTATTCTGGGCTGGCATTCTTGGTCTCTTAGAGTCTGCAGCACACCTGTCCAGGCTCTTCTGGGTTTTAGAGTCTCCATTGAGAAGTCTGCCTCTGTATGTTACTTGGTCTTCCCTTTAATAAGCTTTAATAATCTTTCTTCGTTCGGTATGTTTACTGTTTTGATTATTATGTACTGAGGGGGCTTTCTTTTCCAGTCCAGCCTATTTGATGTTATGTATGTTTCTTGAACCTTGATAGGCATCTCACTTTTTAGGATAGAGAATTTTTCTCTATGATTTTTGTTGAAAATATTGTCTATGACTTTGACCAACATTTTTCTCCTTCCTCTATTCCTATTATTCTTAGATTTGATCTTTTTGTAGTGTCCCAGATTTCCTGGATATTTTGTGCCAAAGAATTTTTAGATTTAACATTTTCTTTGAACTGATGTATCCATTTCTTCTATTGTATCTTCGGTGCCTAAGATTCTTTCTTCTACCTTTTGTATTTCATTGGTGAATGTAGAACCTCCCTGGTTCCTGTTCAAGTTCCTAAACTTTTCATTCCCATACTTCTCTCAGTTTAGGTTTTCTGTAGTAATTCTATTTCCATTTTTGGGACTTGATTTATTTTGTACATTTCCTCCCATTGTTCATTTGTGTTTTCATAGATTTCTTTAAGGGATTTATTTGTTTCCTTTTAAGGAATCAAATCATATTCATAAAGGCTGTTTTAAGGTCTTTTACTTGTGCTTCAACTATATTGGAATATTCAAGGCCTGCTGTGATAGGGCTGCTGGGCTCTAGTGAGACATATTGTCCTGGCTGTTTTTGTTGACTGTGTTTTTACTCTGGTGTCTAGGCTTCTGGGATTGGGAAGATTATAATTCTAGGTGCTATTATCTGGTCTTGGTTTTGTTGAGTAGGTGTTTTGTTCCTTAGTTTCTGTTTCCTCTGTGGTTCTTAGGAGTGTGTGGTGGCTGTGTTTTGCCTGTAGGAAAATCTTCTGGGTCCTGATAGGTGTGGGCACTGGAGGTTCCAGGTAAAATTGGTTTCTGGGTATTGGGACTTAGGAATGGTGATGAGCTGGGGATTATGGAGGGGTTTCACAAGAGGGGGTGGGAAGCAGGTGTTCCACCAGGATCTGCTTAGTTAGTCCCCTGGGAATGGGGGCATAGAGTGAGGAGAGGCCACAGCAGTATGTCTACTTAAGAGTTGGGCATGACACTAGGTGATTGGACTTGGAGGAATAGAGGAAGGGGCAAAGATCTGCAGCTAGCCCAATTGCTTCCCTGGTTAGAGTAGCTAGTGGGTTCCTGGGTAGTACCTGCTGGGGTTGGGGGCTAGGATAAAGCTGGAGTTGGGAAGGGAGTTTAGGAGTGGAAGAGCTATGGGATCCCCTGGAGATGGAGGCAGGGAAGAAGGAAGGCTCCAGGAGATGTTCTGTTGCAGAGCTGGGGGATTAATTTGGAGGAGCAGAAGGAAAGTAAAAGTCCACAATTAGCCTACCTGCTTCCTTAGCTGGAATATCCTGTGAGTTACCAGGGAGTCCCCTTGGTGTTTCTTAATCCAACCAAGCTGACAATGGAAATCAGCCATCACATCATCTGGTACAGAGAGTCAGAAAAATGGTATCTGGAGTGCAGGAAATGAGTCTGGTCTAGTCAGCACCAGCCTTCTTGGAGAGTTGGGGTCAGGTCTCTACTTCCATTACAGGATAAATGGGAACAGACTGTTGGCCAGGATTCCACCCTGGAGATCTTTCAACACATCTCCTTGATGACCTTGGACACCATCATGAAGTGTGCCTTCAGCCATGAAGGCAGTGTCCAGCTGGATAGGTGAGTAATATCCCTGAAATATAGGGTCTTTGGTCTTGCCAACTAGTGTGGCCTTACCCAAGAAGCAGATGGAACAGCTTAGATACTAACAACCACAAAACACAAGATCTTCCCTTATACAGTAAGAAATTAGGCCAACCTCTAACTCTAGATCAGACACCACCATGCCTCAGATGCACCATGGATTCCTAGAAAGATGGAAGCCTGAATGGCCATGCTATCTTCTGAAGACATGGTGGTTACAAGAGTATAAGACAGAAACAACATGAGTTCTAGTGTTACCTCTATCCAAATTAAGGGAATTACCACTCTGTCTCTGGGTCATATCTCCTTATTGTCACTATGTTGTGTTCACAGAAAATACCAGTCCTACATCCAAGCAGTTGAGGATCTGAACCATCTCATTTTTTCCCGTGTGAGGAACATGTTTCACCAGAATGACACCATCTACAGTGTGTCCTCTAATGGCCGCCAGGCCAACAATGCCTACCGACTTACCCATGATCACACAGGTTCTGTTTCTTTCTTTTCTCTCCCCTCTTTTACCAGGCTCAGTCTAAAGAGGCTAGCCATGATATCTGAGGCAGGTCCAGGTTCTTTCATCCTGAAGGATGTGAGATGAATTCATGTTGGGTACTTTCCTAGTACAAGGAAGCTAAGACGTAGGGTGCTGGATGGCATGCAGTGGTTACCTGGGGTATCACATTGGTGGTATTAAATGAAATCCATCCCATTAGCATTGAAAAATATCCTCAGCTGTTCTCCCAAGGGGCAGCCTGATCTCTATCAGATGTACTAGACTCTCACACCTTACCCAACCCTTGACCATATTTATCCTGACCTCTAGAGGGAATAGAGTTTGAGAAAGAGGGTACATGGGCCTCTTGGGAGCTCTGCTCTTATCTCTGCCTGGTAACTGCTGTCCTTGGATAGACCAAGTGATCAAATTGAGGAAGGCTCAGCTTCAGGATGAGGGAGAGCTGGAGAAGATTAAGAAGAAAAGGCGATTGGATTTCCTGGACATCCTCCTGTTTGCCAGAGTGAGTGTGTGAAACCTGATCAAAGGCTTGAGACTTAACCTAGAATCACAGATTGAGGAACAAACATTGCTCTCTCATCTGTGGCCTTTTCCAGATGGAAAATGGAAGCAGCTTCTCTGACAAGGACCTTCGTGCTGAGGTAGATACGTTCATGTTTGAAGGCCATGACACCACAGCCAGTGCTGTCTCCTGGATCTTCTATGCTTTGGCCACACAACCTGAACATCAGAAGAGATGCAGGGAGGAGGTACAGAGTCTTCTAGGAGATGGAACTTCCATCACCTGGTGAGTGGGAGTTCAGGATAGAAGAGATTCCTGCCTTCTGGTAATGGGGAGCTCCTGGTCATCCCAGCTCTGTATGACTTTTAGATTGGCCTCATTTCAGGGACCACCTGTACCAGATGCCCTACACTACCATGTGCATCAAGGAGGCCTTGAGGCTCTACCCACCTGTACCGAGTGTGAGCAGAGATCTCAGCACACCTGTCACCTTCCCGGATGGACGCTCTTTGCCCAAAGGTATGGGCTTCGCAGATCAACTCAGCCAGGCAAAGAAGAATGAAAATTCCATGTTTCTTTAGGAGTTCTGAACTAGTGAAGTCTCTAATGACTATCCCATTCCTTATCAGTAGTGATGAAGGGATTTTTTACTTTAAGTTAGAATGTAGTGTGTGAATTGCTTTACATACAGTTAGAATTCAGCAAAATCTCAGTAAATAAAAATCAACCTCTATAATGAATTTCAGCCTTTAGGCATTAGTTGTTAAATTATTACTTGATTCAAAAGAGAATTAGGTAAGTCCTGGGAAGATGCATTTTTTTCTATGGGTGCAGGCAAAGGAGAAAGTTCAGGGACTCACAAGTCATGGATAAAATGTGTTCCACTGTCTGAGGATACCTCAAGTTGATGGAAGAGTTTAACTGATCATCAGATCTTAGTCCCATATCATGGTAGAAAAATACCCACTGGATCACATCATTGGGTGTGATTTCCCCTTCTGCCACACTGAAGCTGTGTAAACAAGAAAAGATAATCAGTCTTGCTGAGACTGCAGAATCTCATCTGACAAATGGGGATACAATAGTGTGTTTTGGAAGTTGCTTGTGAATGTTGAGTGTGGCAAAAGGCTCGTGGAAGACATTTGATGAAAGAGAGTTATCACTTCACTCAATATAATAGTGATTCTCAAATGCTTCCTTGTTCTCACACCTAGGTTCATTGGTTTTGGCAACTAGCCTGTGCACAGTACTTGGCCTGGCCCACCCTATTTCCTATAACAAAACGATGATTTCCAGCACGTGTGCCATTTGCATATACATGTTCTCCACTGAATAAGGGAGCAAGTGCCCTACCCCACCGGCATAACCAGTCTCTCTTTGTCCTACTCATTCCACAGGTATCACAGTCATGCTCTCCTTTTACGGCCTTCATCACAACCCATCTGTGTGGCCAAACCCAGAGGTAAAAGGGGCAATGGGAGAAGGTCAGGGGAAGGTGTCTCAGGATCAATACCTACTCCTACTCTCGCTTCTGGACATTTGGCTCCCTTATGAGTTGAAAGCAGAAGTTTGACTCCTGCCTGACCTGGTCCCGGTATTTTCCCTGCAGGTGTTTGACCCTTCTCGATTTGCAACCGAGTCGGCCCGACACAGTCACTCATTCCTGCCCTTCTCAGGAGGACCAAGGTGAGGTGCCCACTGTGTGGAATGAGTAGAGAAAAGGGTAGTCTCTGGGTATATATCTAGTCTTTGTGATTCCCTAGGTTCCTACATGATGTCGTCAGGTGTTTGTGGGTGGGATACATTTTCTGTGCCCTACAGAGATGGTATTTAAGGAGGCAACATAGGTTTTTGGCAGACTACTTTTCCCAAAAGTCATATAAATTTGTGTCAGTGTGTGTATCAAACTTCACTGTTTGTTGACATTTTCACCATTTCTAAAATATGAATCTTCATACTTAGGTTCTCCTATGTAAACTGACACTCAGGCATTTTTTCCTCATCTGTCAGATCTCTTTTTTTTTTTTTTTTTGGTTTTTCGAGACAGGGTTTCTCTGTGTAGCTTTTGCGCCTTTCCTGGGACTCACTTGGTAGCCCAGGCTGGCCTCGAACTCACAGAGATCCGCCGGCCTCTGCCTCCCGAGTGCTGGGATTAAAGGCGTGCGCCACCACCGCCCGGCTCTGTCAGATCTCTTAAAGGATGAATATATGTCCCCATCATTCTCCACCCATTCCAACACTTCTGTTTAATTCCCCAATCAGTCACAACAATGAGTATAAAAAGAATTTCATGTTTTTAGAATTACATTGAAGCCATGTTTGGAAAAGTACAGAGCCCACTGTGGTAGGATGGACACCAATGAATCTTCTACACAGTTTTGATTTCTAACTCAACAAAATTTTCACTGCATAGGATTTGGCACAGAGAAAAATAACTTGAATAAATGCTTTTGTGTGTAAATTTAGCTAATTTAAAAAATAAAATGCATCAGAATATACAAAAGGTGAATATTTTAAAGTAGTAGCTGAGCAACCTGATACTCCCCTATCTGTTAATGACCTCATCATTGATCCCTAAGAAGAACTGTTCACCCCTAGGTAAACTCATTCTAGATAAACAATATGCTTACAGGCTGTTCTGTGAAAATTGATTCAGCGTGGCAGAGGTCACAACAATGAGTATCAAAAGATTTTCATGTTTTTAGAACTTCACTGAAGCCATGTTTGGAAAAGTACAGAGCCCACTGTGGTAGGATGGACACCAATGAATCTTCTCCTCCACAGTTTTGATTTCTAACCCAACACTAACAAACATTCCTGAAATAGCTGTTGAGTTTAAAAGTTATAGTCCAGAGAGCTGCTGCAACAATAGCTAAAGACTGGAGGACTAATCCTATTGTGGAATGTGGACTGCCCGGCAAGTAATGAAGAAAAGGAAGGCTTTTCTGTGTCCACAATTCTGTGACCTCTGCCACGCTGAATCAATTTTCACAGAACAGCTTGTAAGCATATTGTTTAGCTAGAATGAGTTTACCTAGGGGGGAACAGTTCCTCTTAGGGATCAATGATGAGGTCATTAACAGATAGGGGAGTATCAGGTTGCTCAACTACTGTTTAAAATATTCACCTTTTGTATATTCTAATGCATTTTATTTTTTAAATTAGCTAAATTTACACACAAAAACATTTATTCAAGTTATTTTTCTCTGTGCCAAGTCCTATGTTGTGACAGAAACATGGAGACATAGGGTTCTGCCTCTGCTTCATCAACAAGAACAGAAAGCTGGTCTACAGAATCAGCCACCGCTGTGTGAAATAGACATTTCTTTCTTCTTTGATACTTTCATTTCCTCACTGAGAAGTTAATAGAATGATCCACATTCCTGGCACTGTCCTAGGCCCTGGACTATGCTGTGACCTTGGTGCCTAGTGTCCAAGAAAGGAAGAGCCACGCAGAAGGATAAGGGCTAGCTGCTCATTGTTCTGAGCCTTGAGCATGTGGAAACAGAGAGAGAGAGAGAGAGAGAGAGAGAGAGAGAGAGAGAGAGATTCTCCTTGGCCTCTACAACATTTGCTGAGACAGAAAGTAAGGGCCGGGCAGGTAAGAGTTGAGGAGACAGCCACTCACAGGAATGTGGCTGCATCTGAGACATCTAGACATTATGCTACCAGATTGAAAGGATGGGAGGGTCAATATGAAAAGAAGGGATTGGGGGACCAGTGAAGTCTCGGACAGGAAACTGAGGGCAGCACACAGGGAAGGACATCCCTGGGATAGAATTAGAGAGCATAGACTGAGAAGGAGCAGGAGCCTGACCACTGAGTGGGAGGCAGGTAGGCAGGAGCTTGAGGCTCCCCAACCTGGTATGTTCTCCAGGAACTTCTCCAACAGCATCCAACTCCATGTTAGGATTATAGAGACTTTTCCCCTGAACAGTAATTCCCAAAAGTGTGATCCATCCCTCCCCATGTTGCCTTGTTCAATGGAATCCACACTGGGGATATCAGAAATTCTTAATGAAGGAGTCAACTAGCCAAAGACTAGCTGATTCCTTGCCTCTCAAAGCAGGATTAGAGTCAGTCTCAGAAAAGAGGGCTATTTGTGGAAGATTAAGACAGCAAGAATTGCGGGCAGTGGTGGCGCACACCTTTAAGCCCAACACTCGGGAGGCAGAGCCAGGTGGATCTCTGTGAGTTCGAGGCTAGCCTAGTCTACAGAGCGAGATCCAGGACAGCCACCAAAACTACATAGAGAAACCCTGTCTCAAAAAAAAAAAAAAAAAGGAAAAACAATAAGACAGCAAGAATCAGGGACCAGGGCAGAGGCATACATATGTGGCCTGTAAGGAAGGGGGTCAGGCTGAATCCCATGAAAGAGTGTCCTGAATGCCTAGTTCTATGCTAGGGCCAAAAGGACAATGGCTGCACAGCTCAGAACAGAACCTGAGGCCACTAATTTTACTATCCTTTTCTGACCCAGGAACTGCATTGGGAAACAGTTTGCCATGAGTGAGCTGAAGGTGGCAGTCGCCCTGACCCTTCTCCGCTTTGAGCTGCTGCCAGATCCCAACAGGATTCCAGTCCCCATACCAAGACTGGTGTTAAAGTCCAAGAATGGGATTCATCTATGTCTCAAAAAGCTCCAGTAATCTTCTCAGGACAAAGACAGCTCCAATGGCATTTTGCCTTCCATTTTGTCTTCCTGTCACTCACTCTTGTCCCTAGCCCACCTGCTCACATCCCTTTCTTTCTTTCCTCCTTGTTTATTCCCTTCTGAGTGCTTCCTGTCTCCATGTCTGTCAGTATTTCTCTCTCATCTTCTTCCAGGACCCCCACCTACCTTAATGCATGTCTGACCTTCCACCTACTAATCTCCATGACTTCCACACCACCTGCTCTTCTGGGTCTTTCTTTCTTTTCTGCTGCTTGTGTACCCTTGAATGAGCTTTATACTGATGCCATAAATGATTACAACAGAAGTGTGTGCTCTTATGGTTCTAAATATCAGACATTTTACATGATTTTGCTGGGATCAAGCTAAGATTTTCAGTGCCATGCTAGGCCCTTTGTTATTGCTATGCCTCTTCTTTTTCCTTTTCCATAATCTAGAGCTGCATTCCTCAGTTTCAAGAGTCCTCCTAAGGGTTAAAATCCAATACCATTTTAAAGTATATTTAAAGACACTTCTGTCTCCAGATCATCTCTCCATCTTTCCAATGTGTATGCTCATTTTATGCATTCCATACCATACTGGCCATGTTCATAGTTCTACCAAGATTAGGACACGCATGTCAGAAGATCCATTGTTCAACCAACCTAACACAGTCCCTCATCTATCCATCTAAATCTCTCCTTCAAAGTCTCCCTCTACCAGCTTATTTTTAAAGCAAGCTTCACTATCTTTTTTCCTCCCTGCAATAAAGTTCACAAGATGGCATGTTGTTCCTATGCTTTTTGAAGGAGAGGGAAGGAAAGAAAGAGATTGGGGAGGGGGAGATTTTAGGAGGTGACAGGTCCTTTTTGGGACCAGGGAAGGAGGTGGCATCTGCTCTCTGGTATTATGAATTCCTTCCAGACTGTCAAGATGGATCTCAAATGCTCCAGGAGGCCTCACTTATGTGACATCTGATACCTACACTTGCTCAACTGTAAGGTTCTCATGTGGACAATGGGCTTAGACAATGGGCTCTTGTCTGTGGGCTCAGAGGAAGAAACACACCTCTTGTGAAAAAAATAATCAGGTCTCCAGGCTATTAAAGGATTAATATCACTCACTAATCAGGCCTCTAGTCTATTCAAGGATTAACATCCCTCACGTTTGATTCCTCAGAGGAGTACCAAGTCAGAGCCTGATTTGACCTGAGCAAGAAAGGTTTCAGGTTTGGTCAGTCATGTGAGCCTTGGGAACCTTGTTCTTCACAATACTAAAACAGTGTAGCTTAACCATGCCATCTGCCAACTTGCCTCACATTAGTGTTTGGAAGTTCTTCAGCAGGCTTAATGAATGAACAGCTGCCCCATGAGGGGTGAAAGGAGCTTAAAAGGGAAAAAAGGCCTTGCTAGTGGGAGATCTCAAGCAAGTCCTTGTAGCTGAAGGTTTTCTGTGTCCCACCTGGCCCATGGTCAGGACAAATCTCTCCCGCTTACATTCCCCAAGTAAACACACAGGCTTATATTAATTAAAACTGTATGGCCATGGCTCAAGCCTTTTGCTAGCTAGCTTTTATATCTTAAATTAGCCCATAACTATTGATCTATATATCGCCATATGTTCCATGGCTTTACCTGCGTCCCATTACATGTTGCTCCTTTTGTGGCTCACTGGCATCTCCCCTGCCTTCTTCCTGTCTCTCTCTTGGATTTCCCACCTGCCTCTAAGCTGCCTTGCCATAGGCCAAATGGCTCTATTTATCAACCAATCAGATATTTACAGCATACAGAAAGATATTCCCCCATCAGGCCCTCCTACACATGATTCCTTGGTGACCCTCTGCCTCCTGCTCTGTCAACCCTGAAAGAGATAGGATGTCATCAATCCTTCCTGTATCTGATTACTACCTGAGTGTTGTTGCTTGTGACCCTGGGGACCGTTGCCTACACACATCGTCCATACACTTGCATTAAGTTCACTGGGATGTTGCCTCTGCTTCTAGCACCTCATTTGAATTTGAACTTGCTTCTCTTGTTTCTTGTAAACACAAGTTCCCTATTTTTTCAAACTATTTCTAGGTCAAAACCCTGGATGCCACAGAGAGAAATCTCTGAGGCCTTCTGCTTGGGATATAATGTCACTTTTTGCTTCCCTGAGTGGGTTTCACCCCACTGTACTGCCTTCAGACAGGGCCTTGCTCCTAGTTCCTTGGCTTTCCAGGTAGCTACATTAGTTCAGCTACATTCTGAGAAAGAATAGAAAAGTTTTTCAAACACTCTGAAAACTGTATAGAACTTTAGAAAGAGTCCAAGTAGTCAGAGAATCTTGAGCAAATAGAGCAAAGTTGGTAGAATTATAATAACTCAGATTAAATTGTACCACAAAGACCCATAAGAAAAAGAACATAAGATGAGATCCATTAGCTAGACAAAATGGAACAGAACTCAGAACTCAGGAGCAAAGTCACACATTTACAATCAATTGAGTTTTTTGTTTGTTTGTTTTACAAAGGCAGTAGGAATGAATATGCTGAAGAATGGAAAATCTCTTCAATGAATGGGGCTGGGGAAGCTGATGTCCAACTAGACCTATACATCTCAACATGTAACTACTACAACAGAATATAGGAAAGAGACTTCGGGACATTGGGCTAGACTGAATTTTTGGGATATTCTCTAATAGCACAGTCAGCAAATGTTAAACTAGACTAATGAGTATATTTAACTAAATTAGCTTCTGCACAGCAGAGGAAACAATCAGTCAACACACAAAGCAGAGACAATGTGTTCCAGCTATTCATCCAATAAATTAGCAGAATAGGCAGGAAAATGAGCAGTAAAAACCAACAAAAAACCTTATTTTAGAATGGACCCAAATTAGAAATTCCTCAAACAAGAATGTACAAAGGGAAACAGATTTGCAAAAAATGTTCAACATCACTAATCATTAGGGAAATGCAAATAACAACTGTAGATGAATTTCTAAATGGTCTTATTAAGTTAAAAAACACAGAGCCAGATATAGGGGTGAAAACCTGAGAGATCAGGGAAATAGGGAAAGCCACAGCCAACCTTACCTCACCAACTCGGCAGCTTCCAAATATGAGATACTTCCTGTTTACCCATGCCTATGTGTCTTGCTGTTCTGCCATCTGATTTGCTCTCTGTCTAGCTACATCACGTCCTCTTCCTGCCCAGCTCTGTCACTTCCTGTCTGTCTGTACAGAGCTCCAGACCTCCATGGTTAACTAGTGTTGGAATTTAAGGCGTGTACCACCTGGCTCTGTTTCTAGTGTGACCTTAAACTCACAGAGATCCAGACAAATCTCTGCCTGCCAAGTAATAGGATTAAAGGCATGTGCTATCAATTCCTGACTTCTTTGTTTACTTATAATGGCTGGCCTTTTCCTTTGATCTCCAGACAAGCTTTATTTATTAAAGCACAAATAAAATATCACCACATTTCCCTTTTTTTATCTAATAAAAAAGTTATAACTAATATAAGAAAAACTATATACAATTAGTACAATAACTATATATAATATATACAAGCAATAAATACACCAACAATGTCTAGTCCATTTGCATTTTACAAATTCAAAGAAAATATTCCATTATCTATCCTATCTTGGTGAGTCCAAAATGTACCTAATTCACTTTCTATCTTATCTTGTATTACCAACAGAAAACTACCTTATGATGTCTTTCAAACTTACACACTTAACACCTCTTAGTGAGTTTCTTTTCTGAATTTCTTAACAAGGAAAACTATAACTACAACTATCTAATCTTCAACTCCCTCGGACACCCGAGAAGGAAATAATATTACCTAGTAAAACAAGTGACTTACAAAAAAATGTGAGTTATGACAGAAACACCCAGATTCCTAGACAGTCACCCAAGGTTTCTCTGCAACATTGGGGCATCATCTTTAGCCTACAGGCTTAGCATATCTGACAGACTCATTTGTGAAGCAGGATGTATGCAAGACCTACAACTTGACCCCACATTCAGTGTGAGTATTCCATGTACCAGATAAACTTGAATTCTGCCAGTGTCATGTCATGATCCAGGATTTTAAATTCTGGAAATTGCTGGTATTTTTGGAATTCAGCTTCCCATTCTTCTCGGCTTGTGGGTGGCTTCATCTCAGCATCCCATCTTTCTCAGCTTGTGGTTGGCTTCATCTCCTTTATTAAATGCCAGTCTACCATTGAGAGGCCAGACTCTGTCAGCCTAGTTACTCCTTCAAGAATAACTGTTCTAGCTACTGTTCCACTGCACATCTGGAGCCATTGGCCCACTGCCTGTTCTGCTGCCTTTGAAGGAAGGGGCACTGTACCTTTTCTGGATTGCAAAGCCACTTCAGCGATGGTGCCATATTGTCCTGGCCTCAGAGGATGCCTGTTGCCAAAGCTGCAACCACACTTGTCTTGGCAAGGATTGGCAGCCCCCCTTGTGTGTGTGTGTGTGTGTGTGTGTGTGTGTGTGTGTGTGTGTGTGTGTGTGTGTATCCTGCTTGTCCATTTTGGACAGTATACTGTCAGCAGTCAATACAAGGGCACTTTCTTACCCAGTGGCTAACTTTTACCACAATGAAAGTTAACTCCATATGCATTTTCTTTAATGCCCATATCTTCTCTGAAGTAGATTGGTGCTGCCAGGAACAGACATGTCTCATAGTCATAAACAAAGAAAAAAATCTGTTATTAAAACATTTTAAATGCCATATTCTGTAGATCTCTGAAGGTTTTGAAGATGACCTGTCTATCTAAAATATATCTCTTCTTGGCCGGGCGGTGGTGGCGCACGCCTTTAATCCCAGCACTCGGGAGGCAGAGCCAGGCGGATCTCTGTGAGTTCGAGGCCAGCCTGGTCTACAGAGCGAGATCCAGGAAAGGCACAAAGCTACACAGAGAAACCCTGTCTCGAAAAACCAAAAAAAAAAAAAAAAATCTCTTCTTGACCTTGAAAACATACCTAATATGACTACAAGTTTGATTGTAATGTCTAGCTTTCATTTCTTTATATCCTAATAGCTGGTAATAACAACATTCAAGGATTAGCAAATTGTATTACATTATTAAATGAACTATATAGGTACAATATACTGAATAAGAGTAGAAATATACATACAGTGTTTTCTAACAAAATCAATCTAAAATCTGTATCAATATACATAATTTGTATATAATATACAAAAATCCAATCCAATGTAAAATATTTAAAACTAGTAGTTGCTTTCTAAAAAGTAAATTCAATAATCTACCTTTTTATCTGTATCATATCTGAACCCTCTCTTTTTTCTTTTCAGAGTAGATTCAATAATCTACCCTTTATTCTATCATTTCTATATCCTTTTTTTCAGAGT